ATAAACAACGGCTCAATTATTGGACACGCTCCGCGTTTCTGTTTCCCCACTCACAGGTTCTTCGTAGAATCAACGGAATGGTCCTACTTTGAATATTTCTCCTACACCCTCATGTACAATGTGGTCATCAATTACTAGGCATTAATGGTTGTTACCAGAATAACTTACTCGTTTTTGCTGTAGCCAGTGCATGGAATAAAAAAAGACCGTATTGATGCCGTTGCACATCAAACCGGGTTTAAATTATCCCACTGAAACGGTTATCTGCATGTCCCGGAAATGATGACTGTACGGTGTAATGTGTATTATGATTATGTGGTTTACCTCTTATCATTCATTTGGTTATATATGCAAATTTATTTTAACTGTTTTTAGCTTTCTACTTTTTCCATTCCTTTCTTCATCCAAATGCTCATCACAAACAGCCGCACGAATATGTACGGTTCAGTTTGTATAAACTGAATCCTTGCTGGTGTGTGTTTGCACGCGCGTCTGTTGCGACAGAGTTGACTTAGCCCCGTTTCCACTAGCACTACTGCATGAACAAGTTGGTAAACCTTACTTATGCAGCTACCCCTTCTGAGTTATAGGTATTCACAGATGAGCACTAACGCAAGATTTTAACCTTCATAGGTTACTTTTGTTGGGGTATCTGTTACACCTGTTACCAGATCAGGTTCGGCGTGATATAATCGCCGAGATAGGTAGGGAATGGAAGAAGCCTGGTATGAGAGTATGAAAATCTGGACAATTACTGTTATTCACTGAGGTCGCGTGAAAGTCCTTGTTTTGGGACGTCCAGACCAACCTAATCAATGACTAAAGACACTGGGTGATAAGCCTAAGTGTCATAAGCATTGATTAACGTGCATATATTCACTGTTTATGGGGATCTATTCTGCCCACTTTTTATATGTTTGTTTTGATTGTGCTCCTAACTTGAAGTAGTTTCATTTACTCACCCCTCGTTGATCGAGGGAATAGGTAGCCAGAGGACCGATCGGAACCATCGCACAGTAGTGCAAGAAAGATAAAGCAATTAAACTTGAATGCGTTTGCCTAAAAAGAAATTCTGAGGTTATCGTAATGTTCTTCGGTGCAGTGTATCTCAAATGTCGAAAATCCAACTGCTAAGCTTTTGATCAACGGTTGAATCAGGTCACAAACCATACATTTTACGTCGGTTCTCGTCTCTGTTTCTCCTCTCAGTCAACAGTGCATCTCAAACAGCAGAGCCTTCATTGCATTTTATTTACGATTTATCGCTCTTTCACTGTTCGCTCCTCGTCTCATTCAACGTTTGTCGCCTTCCCCCTCCCGCACGATTTTCCGCGTTAACCAGCTGGTCGACCTGTTGCATCAGTTTGGCGCGGAAGTCAATTGTCGAGACAAGGATCAGTACACACCTCTGCATGCGGCCAGTGCTTTGGGTCATGTGGCCACGGCGAACGCTCTGATCTCGCTGGGCGCAGAGTTGGAGGCTACAACTGCTCATGTGAGTCAATCGCACTTGTACCACCATATCGTGGGTGGGTGGTGTTGCGTTCCCCGATCGAGGACTGCGACATTCGTCTGATCGTTGGTTAGCGGCATTTGGTGATGTGGCTATGTGAGGAAGAGTAAACGACGGTGCTCGTGTGTTGAATAACTCTAACCAGATTTAGTTTGCTTGTTTTTTTTTCATCTTGACGGTGCTCACTGCTTTCTCTTCTATGTACTTCCTCCATATCGGTCGATCCAATGGAATAGCCGTATGACCCAATGACAGTACAAATTCAACGGTTGGATATGGCAAAATCGAAAGCTATGCTTTCTGAGGTCGTATTTGCATTAAAGCGAGAGGATGAAGGGTCGAAGAATGGGATTACCATAGTCAGGTTTAGAAATCTCATACTACTGACTCAAATAAGTGGGTTGAGATGCCTTTGAGTTCTATACCTTTCTAATCTTCACCGCGAAGACCAATCTACGCAATGCCGAAACCAAAGTTTTTCTCCTCCCATTAAATCCCGTCGGATCAACTCTTACAAGACATCACTTGTTTTGTATCAATTTTAGAGTCACGTTCATCCGCCCAAGGTTTGGAATACCCTTGGAAGGTTTGTCCGATGGGGTTCTATAACGCGCAATGCGTAGTTTGGTTTTGATTACCCGAAAAACAGATCTACTTTAGTATGGACCACGTGCCAAGATTACTCTCTATCTCTATCACGCACATTTTACCCATTGATTTGATTGCTAGCATAATTCTTGGACTGAGTGATCGATTCGGGTCACAATATGGTTCCAGACCAGTTCGAATTACACTAACCGTACAATTTTCAACATTTATATGCCAATCAATTCTTTAGCGTGAGCTTATTTTGTGATCTAGAATGCTTTTAACATGTGTCAGAGCTTCACAAGTGTCACTTCAACTGTGCTTTTCTAGAAGATTTGCGCTCATCTATCTTGTTTGAGCGCTTTTTATTCTCACTGTTTGTATTTTCATAATCAATGAGCTGCTTTATACGGAACTTAATGGTTTACTTTCGTAGTTACAGTGGTACAACTTTCCCACACTTCAAATTCCCTCATTTTGACATACCACTCTATTTGATTATCTCTACCATGGAACCAATTACGCCGGACATAAACAAGAAATCTGTCCCGTTCCTTGTAACCATTGAATGATGCATCTCCAATCATACTGTTGGTGATACATTGTTTGTCGTGGGTACTACGGAGTGATCCTGTTGATGGAATAACT